AAAGTATATCGGCGAGCCCGTCTCCAGACGGTCTTGGTTTTTCTCCCTTGTAGGAAAAAGTTACTGTCACAGATCAAAATGGACATCATTTTTGGATTTCTCGTGCCAAATTCACCCATTCCTGAATTTATCAACTCATAAAAAAGTTGGCCTACTAGAGGGTTAACAAGTTAAATACTTTCGCCGTTCGTTGGATTACAAAATGAGATACCAAATGAAAAGGCCCGGCCTTCGCATGTACATAAGCTTTCATTTTTTAATAGGGTTGCCACCTATTTAAAAATTACTATCTTCTATTAAAACGTATAAAGGAAAGTCGATAATCTCAAAAACTACTGAACGGATTTATATGCGATTTTTTAAGTATAATCTGTATTGATAGGAATATTATCTTTAGTACTTTAAATTCCTATATGGTTGCTATCTGTCTAATAAAAGGGTTCGACTTTTAGATGTTCAACAATGTATTAGTTTTTGAGTATGGTTGCCACTTTTTAAAAATCATAAGATCTTCACCGTTTGTTGGAATAAAAACTGAGGTAGCAAGTGAAATGATATGGTCCTTGCATGTGCATTAAGAGTTTTTTTGGGAAGGATCGGGTGCATGAAGGATCTCATAAACAAAACTCATGAGAGCCGTTGGTGCACATTGACACCTGCCATATAACCAAGTGCTTCCTGAAAAGGCCTGACAGGATGGTAGCAAAATTTCATCTCAGACAAAGAAGAATTGATCTACGAGCCCTGGTAGGACTCATTCCCGTAATCACGATATATGGTCACCATAGACATAAGCTGGAGGACGAGAATAGTACAGAAAATTTTCTCTGCCGCTGTGCAGCTTTCGCCAGACTCAGGCGATATATTTTTGGGTCGGATGTACTGAGAATGGAGGAGGTATATTCTCTTTCCCTCAAAAAACTGCTAAAATTCATAAAGGAGTCTGGTAAACTTGTAGATGAGCTGCGAATTCCCACCCCCACCTAAATATCCCTTTCCTCAAAATCCTGTGTCTTGGCCTTAAGCAAAATAGGTGCTTGCCTGGGTGCTTGGAAGAATTCGTTTTTGGTTTTTCCGGCCACTCACAATTTCCTTCCATTCCAAATAGTAATGATTGCTAAAGTAATTAGAAGGAAACATTTTGATAAGCGTAGGGAAAAGTGGAGATTTTTTCTGTTGAGTGGGGATTCTCCAAGAAAGTATGGACCATAACTGCTACCGTTACCACCGGCAGTAGTGAATTTTAGTGGAACCAGTAGGTACGACAGTATTGAATTTATATAGAAGATATTTTATCGCAATCACGTAGTTGTTTTGTGCTACGTCAGCGCCGGTAAAGACATTTAATAACAAATATGTTTACTTATTTATCAAATAAAATAAAAATAAAATTGCAAAATTAAAATACAAAAATGCTGCGGCAATCCTCGAGGCTTGCAAATTTTCCACAAAGTGTTCTGAAAAATCTTCCGCTAAAGCCGGGTCAATTAAGACGTTATATAGCAGACAAATGTTGTCCATCAGGAGCGACTAAAAGCACAAAGACCTCTAAAGATAAACAAGATGCAACGGATTCTGTGTCTCCATTAAAAAATGATGCCTTCAATCCACCAGACTTCCTTCCAATTAAAGCCTACCGGCCACTCTGCGATCCAAATGAGTTGTTCGGGCCGGGTGCGCACAAATGTAAGGAATACAAAAATCCAGAGTATTATGCCTACCATCGATTCTCGTTTTTTGAACTTCAGAATGCCACATTAGAGATTGCTAAATATGCAGAAGGTGGAGTGCTTTACGAAGCTGAAAGTGGATCAGAAGCTGAGGATGAATGTACAGATGGTGATGATGCAGAAGGTGGCATGGAGGTGGCGAAAGATGGCGTGAAGGAGGCAAAGGAGTGTAAAGAGAGCAATGATGAAATGAAAAAGAGAATAGCTAAAATCGGCGAAGTCAAGAAAGCGGTGGATGAAAAGGAGCAAAAGGATAACGAAAATTGTGAGAAGTGAGATTAAGATGTGGATTGAGCGAGCAAAAACGTGTCTAATTTAAATATAATATGTATATTTGTAACCTGTTTTTTTCACATATGTATGTTAAATTTTTGTGTGTGGATGTTTATACATGGCGGAATTATTACTATTATTATTATTGTTATTATTATTACTAGTTTCGCCCCGTTGTCGAAATTCGACCACCTCCATTTTTCATACACTTTCACTTTGTTTGTGTGGCCCTTTTTAGGTCCATGAGCACCTCTTGATCGCCCACGTCACTACTAGTATTAGATGGAGTAATATCTTTTCCGTTAACTAATTTTATAATTCATAGGAGCAGTAGGGAGGAATAGATTTGTATGGGATTTCGTTAGCGTATTAACATATAGATAGGAGATGGTGAAACCAAAGCAGGCATTCATAGGCTTTATTTGTTTATGCGCCATGTTTTTGTATTTGTTATATAAAATATTTAACAATTTTATTGAGATTGAGCCCGATTCTAATGAAAAACTATTGTGGAAAAGTAACAATAATTTATAAAAATATCGTAAAATAATTTCACCATGATTTCATTGTTTTTTTCGAAACTGCGTTTTTCACAGGTTTTGGTAGGATGTAGTAAAATACACCTTCAACCGAAGTTGTATGGCCGGTTGGTCAATGTCTGGTTATCAGTACTTGCCGGTTAAACATCATTATCGACGTTTTCAACATCATGCATATAACATGTGATCGATAAAGCAGCCGTTGCATATGACTGGAGCTTCTACCTCCGGTTAAGCATTGTTATCGACGTATTCGACTCCATTCATATAACAGGGAGTCTGTAACGACGATAATTATGTTTAACCGGAGATTAGTGATAACCAGACATTGAGTAACCGGCCCTACCGGCCCTAAATGTGTTAGTACCAAAAGCGACGTAGTTACACATCATTTTTTAAAAATCCCTACCTGTTTATGATACTCTTTTTAACCTACTTCAAAAAAGGAGGAGGTTATCGATTCGTCGGATGTTTTTTATGTACATACCGAGTGCTTATATTCAATACCCTTTATCTGCAAATTCCACAAGATTCAGCTTCTGATATAAAAATCCACCTAAGAATTAAGTGTCATCGATGCTGTTAATACCAACCAATTTTGTAACCGGAAAATTTTATTACCAAAAAATGTTACCAGTTCTTGTCACCGCGATTCTAGGTACGTTGGTAATGCAGAAAAAGTATTCAGCAATTCAGCTACGAAGATTTGTGGAAAATCTGGCAACGCATATTTCACGGGACAATATTTTGTTACCAGCATATGATTGCCATTGTGCCGTGATTTCGTTTCGAGTTTTGTCAAGTTACTTACAAAGCTTACGATTGCTATAAATTTCGACCCCCTTTTTAAAAATTTTCAGATTTGGTGTCTTCAAACCAAAAACAAAAGCACCAAAAAATGCACCAACAGTGGAGACCAGCTTCGACAGAGCTACCAACGCCAGCGCAAAATTTTTGTCTTAGTATGCGTACATTAGAAAGCCAGTAGAAATCGGTTGTATGCAATTATGAAGAAGGCTTGCTATATGAGTGAATTAGTGTGAACAATTCATGCGTAGTCATGAATTTCCACGAATAAACTCAAATTCCAGCGAATTGCCAGCGAATGTACGTTGTCGTTGTTTTAAGTACATTTCTTGATAAATTTGAAGAGGAATTTTTGTAATGTTTTCAGTCTTGTACATAAATTTTAGTAAACAGACGTGTTGTGCGATACTATTTTCAGCACAAACGGGCTTTTACAAGATGTGCATTTGAATAGAGTCCGACCGATTAATCGGCATCGGCATCGGCATCGGCATCGGTTAGTATCGGCACAAAATTGAGCATCGGCATCGGCATCGGCCTTTTTTCGCCGATTCTTTGCCGATTCTTTGGAATCTCTTTTCAAATGTTCAGGTGAAGCGACAGTCAACATTAAAAAAACATTTGCAGACAGCTCACAAAAATGATTTTTTTATGTTGAAGGTGTTTCACGTTTTTTACATACAAAAGTATGTGCGACAATATTCTTTTATATGGAGAACACTGCCAGCAAAAAAAATTGCCAAAAATTAACCGGATTTTATAGCAGCTTGAAACTTACACTTCATTATACTAGAATAAAATGGTCTACAAAACTGCATACCAAAATTCTGATTAAAAAGTTTGAAATTTTGGCGAAAATAAGCAGAATTTTTCTAATTTTTGTACAAAGTTTGAAATCTGAATTTATATGGTGTTTGTTGTATACCAGCTAGACTTTTATAAAAAATTGAGGCAAAAGAGTGTATTTTAGTACAAAACGAAATGAAATTTTATGTTCCTCAATATTTTTTGCTTAGCACCATATAAAAAAGTGTTTCATGTAATGTACATAAATGTGATATATGTACATATATTTTTACACATACATATGTATGTACAGTGACGAGCAAAACTGTAACATGGTGTGACACTTTTTATTTCAGCCACCGCTATCTTTCCAAGTTCTACCGACTTTCATACTTTTGTTGTATATTCTTATTGGTACACCTGTACTTCATCTTATCATATCTTGTAAGAAGGCTTTAATACTGTTCCATTAATGCATTTATGTATGTTTGAAACATTAATACAGCCATATGCATACAGCAGTAGTACAAGTGTATGATTAAGGTACGCATACGCTCTGAGAAACCACGCGTGTTAAATGGAAATGAAGGTTCATTTATACTGGCATGTATACACAGCAGTAAGCTCATGCCACCAACAGCGATGTCGTATGCGTAAAATTTCTACTGGGAAACGCAAAATAATTCGCTGCTGGCGTCGCAACAGTTCGTTAGCTGCGCACACACGACTTGTATTTGAAAGCCGAGTAGCTCCCAGAGGCTCCCGTGTGCAGAACTGTAGTAGAACAAAGTGCAAGCCGTTTGGCTAAAAAGAACCTTTGATTTTTTGGAATTTTTTGTCCCATTTACTTCTATATAACGAATAAACACAATTTATATTTATATGGAAGAAAACCGTAACATCTTCGATAAAAGAACATAAAAAAATTAAGCGTAACTTTTAGCCATTTAGAACTTGTACTTTCTTCTTCCAGAAATCTAATTAAAAACTAGAAATTTTTGTTGAGTATTATTTTTTTTAATATTACTCAAAAATTTGTTTTTGTTATTTTTTTGGCCTTTATAACAATTATATTCAACAATTTATATTGAGCTCGAGGCCGTTTTAAATGAAAATTTTATTGTGGAAAGCAACAATAATTTGAAAAAATGGTAGAAGTGATAGCTATTTCGGAAATCACCACATTTCCTCATCAGACTTCTTTCAGTAGGATTCGAACCGACGATCCCACTGACTCAGCCAGTTGCCTATGCACCGTGCTAAGTACGCATTGTAAATTATCGTTTGCTTTTTTCCACTATTTTCATTTTTGTTATGCCAAACAATCAAGCGCAGCTATTCCGTTGCAATTCACTTGATCATGTGGTTGTTGGTATTGTTTTCAAATTATTGTTGCTTTCCACAATAAAATTTTCATTTCATAGGTTACTCAAAAATGGAAACTTGGATTTACAAGGTTTGTGTTAAAGAATGAACTATAGTTTTATAAAAAAAATAATTAAAATAAAAAAAAAATATGTTAAAACTGGAATATATCGTATCATTTCGTACAACATTGTCGGGAAGGTACCATTCGACGCAATTCGATCCTAATATTGTTAACCATTTTAAAGTTATAAACAGAAAATTTACATGGGGTATGGTTCTTTTGTGCGAGCAATTACACGGTCGAAAACGCATTAAATCGCCAGTTTTGACTTTTAAAACGTTAGTGTAATATATTATTTAACTAAATTATTCAAATTATTTTGTTATCAAAAAGTGAACAATAGTTCTTGCAGACCAAAAAAAATATCCATCACTAAAAAATTTTGAGCGCAAGGTGGCAGTTCCTTTGGAGAGAAGTCCCAAATTCTTGCTGGGAAAAATTTAGCTAGCCCGAATTTGCAATAATGAAAAAGATGTGATGTGGCACATGGTTGCATTTTTGTCGACGCTAATTTGAATAAAGAAGTTCGTTACATTTAAGAATTTATAAACATTTTTTAATGAAAAAAAATATATATGAGTACATACTTGTTTACTTAATTAATGAAGTTAATTCCAAAGATTTGAAATGTACTCGGCTGAAAAAATTTTATTCGTTATCGGAATGCAATCGCAGTCAGGGTCGATTTAAGAAACCTGACAGTTAGTATGACAAGGAAATTGGAAGGTATGGTAAAGAAAGTCAAAATAACAAGAAATATACTTGTAGAACCTGTTTTTGTCCATCTGAAAGAATTTTAAATGTATTATGTTTGAAATGAAACCCTGGACACCAGCTGACAGGGAAGCTGGCAAATTTCCTCAAATTTGCGTTCGTGCAGAAATTTGCAAGTTTCTCTGCTTGAGAGTTATTCACTACTCTCCGCTATTTAGAGTGTTGGATAATTCTTTGTGGATTTTCGACGAACAAACCTAATGTTCGCGAACTTAAACGAGAAAATGCAAAATGGTGTACTGTGTTGCCACTCTAATTATATTTGATAGCAGTGCTGTCATTTGCTAATTTTCGAGTGAAGTGTTTCGGAGTGATTTGGAAGGAAAAGTGAAGTGATTATCGTAGTGACTATTTCGAAACAAAATTATGGCCGTTGCGTTAATCGACTTAATTTATTTATTGATTGGTTAATCGATAATTTTTTATATTAAGGTATTTAAATAAACAAGCATATGCACCGATTCCAAATATTTATTAGGGTTTTTTTAGTAATATTTTGCGAAAAGTTGCGTTACAATTTATTAAAAATTGGTTTCCTATGTTCTTTTGTATGTATTTAATAACCAGATGCGCCGGCACAACTTGAGCCGCCGGCGTCGCCACCACCGCCGATTATTTCTAAGATTGACGACGCCGCCGCCGCTATATCGATCGGCGTAAACCTCTACTATGTGCTACAACATTGAAAAATCAAAGTTTGTTTATTCGCTATTATCCGAAAATGTCTTGTCGCTCTCTTTGTCGCGTCTCTATGTTCTTTGCCTAAATAAAGGAGTTTTAAAGTAAAATTCTTTATTTGAACAATTAGTTGTATGCAGGGACCGAACATAACAGTTATTGATGAAAACTGTCATTGAAAAACTCACTATGAGGGAAATGATCTACAACTAAGTGATACATACCAATCGATTTATTTTTTCACCGAGAATCAAATTTGAGAATAAATTTTTACTGTAATTATTTTGTTTAAATTAAAAAAAGTAACAATTATTTTTGATTTTTATTTTATAAATCCAAAATAAAATAAAAGCCTTCAATTACCGTCATCTAAGATACATAATTTAAAAATCACCAATAACTGGTATTTGCAGATTATTTAGATAAAAATAAAAAATAAATTTTTGATTTATAAAATAAAAATCAGAAAAAACTGTTATTTTAGTAGTATAGTGATCCCGTCTTTGTCATTTCCACTTTAAACTTTCTGCTGATAATAAGTGAAAAAGTGCGACCTCTAATGTTGCTAGCTGCAAAAATGAAGGAGTTAAGTACAACGCCAAATCTCATATCTGAATAATCTGTTATATGTTAGATATATGTTGCAGTGCTCCGTGTTCTCCGGTTCCGACAAACGATAAGTATATTATAAAAAGGCACCCGATTACCTTATTTCAGTCGGATACCTCGAAAAATTCTCGCTACATAAACGGGTATTCGGTTGCCAAACCACCCCCGTCCCAGAAATGAGTTGTGCGCTGGGTTTCTAACCCACCACGTTAAAAGAGGCTCCAATGAACGAGCGTCTAGCCACAATCCCTATCAAAGCGAGAGAGGGATGAAGCGGCCAATGATCTCTTCTATGAACCCTTGGAGCGAACATGCGAGCGTTGTCTCCACGACGAAACGTCTTACAACGGTCTGAGGTTGATCAACTTCGCCGGAACATGGTAGTATGCAGTACTAGGTCCAAGCATAAAAAGATCCATCAAGCTAAGTGGCTGTCCCAGGTCGGTTTTTTGGTTTGAGAAATTTATTTCTTGACTTTATTTTTTTCTTAAAACTTTCACCTGAGGGCACAACAGTGAAAATTTTCACATTTTCTTCGAAACCTATTTTCGCAATTTGGCAAACTCCAAATTGATTTTAGACCCACGGTTTCTTCTACAAATTTGCTTAGAATTACATGTAGAATCCTCCTACGACCCGCCCTAATACACATATACAGGTACTGACGATGATTTTTGTTAAATATTTGCATGATTTTAAAGCTACAATTTTTTGTTAGTTTCCTATAAAAATATGGTTCATACTTTAACCAAAACCATATAAATTAAACTTTATGCAGTGCCTAGAAAAATTAAAAAAAATTTCATTAAAGTTTTGAACTTTTTAATCTGATGCAGTTTTGTAAAATGCAGTTTTGTAAAATTAATAATTAATACAATAAAGTGCAAGTTTTAAGCGGCTGCAAAATCGGGTTGATTTTTAATATTTTTTTTTGCTGACGGCTTTTGCGTGTTTTTTCATATACAAGTGCCATTTATAAAAACTAGCGTGGCTTATGTTTTAATTTTCTTTACAAATGATCTTGCGCATTTGCTTCCATAAGAAATTCATCCTTGTATGCAAAAAAGTACAAAAACCCCACACCGCCACAAAAAAAAAATCTCAAAAAGTAGCGCCATTAAATTTTCACTTTATTAAACTAGTCCCCAGTTTCACCAATAAATTTTAAAATTTATCAGACTGTTAAAATTTAAAATGCAAATTTTTCCGAAAAAATTTAATAATTTTAAAATTTAACAGGCTGATAAATTTAAAATTGGTGGGTGCAACCGGGCATAAAATTATTAAATTTACAAAATTGCATACTCAATAAAATCTAAAAAAATCTGAGTAAAAAGCGCAAATTTTTTATGAAAATTTGTTAAATTTTTCTAAACTCTGAATAAAGTTTGAAAGTTTGTGGTTAAAGCATATTTTTATGAAAAAATAACTCGCAAATTTTAACTTTAATAACCTTGCAAATATTTAACAAAAATCACCAAGTACTCACCACTGCTCCTCACTCTAGGTGTCAACCGTTAAAAGTTTAATAAAGCTTTATTTCTAAAATACTCTTGAAGACGGTTACCTTCAGTTTAAAAGCTTAAGTGCAATTTAGCGAGAGTTTCCATAAAACATTGCAATGTGGGTGTCGAACGAAAGAATTAATCCAATATGCTTTTGAAGGGAGTTGCCACCAATCAAATCAAATTAAGTTTAGTTAAATAGTTAATATATGTAACATATTTACACCAAATTACCTTAAACACTTTTTCGTTTCACGCCCTATTGTAGTACTTTACTTAAACAAAATATATACACTGGGAGCCGAAATAATAGACTCGCCTCTACAAATATGATTTCCAAAAGTCAACGGTATTTTGTAGCCACTTGAAACTTGTATTTGATCTTACTAAAATTTGATAGGCTATGAAACTGCATACTTAAAAAAATGTTCTAAAAATTCTGAATAAAAAGTTTTATATTTCTGTTGAAATATTGTTGAATTTTTATAATTTTTTACAAAGTTTGAAATTTAGATTTATATGTAGTTTATTGCATAACCAGCTATTCTTAAAAAAAAAACAAATATCAAACATTAAATAACCCAGAGAATTAAAGCCATAACTTGCCAAAATATGGAGAGTCTAATTTTTCTGCCACCCACCTATACTGGTGGTGGGTGCTACCCCATGCAATTATTAACATCTTCCTTCTGTTTATACCAATATTATGTAACTGCTTTCTGATACTGTGGACTATCCAAATTAAATGAAAAAGTAAATCTTTTTGCTGCAATCTTAAAAAATATAAAGTCATTTATTAATTCATTTTTTTTTGTTTTTTTCTTGTATGCCATGTAAAAATTGCAAGTTGCACTTAATTGCTAAATTCTTAAAAGTGAGAACATGTTGAATATAAAAAATGCAAAATTATTATGCTGATGATTAATGATTAGTAAAAATCTAGTTACTTGAAGATTTGTTAGTCACAAATATGTTATACATACATATAAAAAACACAGTGTTAAAAAGCATTTCAAAACGATACAAAGAATGAATACATATAAAACATATAACATAAGATAATGAGTTAATAAAGCCTGGAGTTTTTAAGAAAAATTAATGCTCCTTTTTAAATATTACGTATGTATGTAGCTTGAGTGTAATGATAGTTTGAATCACAACTTAATAGACATGAGTAAGTAAGTAAGTAGTTGTGTTTGCCTAGATATCCGGTAAATATATATATAAATGTTGGTTTTAATTTGCGTTTATAAGTTTTTATGTACATATGTATGTAGTAAGTGTGTAGACTTGTATGCAATTGTATGTATGTATAATCAATCTCATTTCTCTTTTCACGTTATTGTTTCACATTCACGTTCGTATGTTCTTGCAAAAAAGCGTAGTATTTAAAAGCATTTGCTAGTGCGTGATTAGTGGGTTTGCGGGTAGCGCGCGCGCCTAAAGGTATGCAAACGTTGTTGCTGCGTAAGCAAAAAAGCGTCAGTTAAAGTGTAGATACTCCCAAATCCCTATAAAATGCTAAAACAGTTGCAAAAAAACATCAATTCAACTAGAAAAAATCTTCACTACCGCAAAGTTGGTTAGTTCATTAATACTATCGAGAAATAAAATGCAAAAAAAACACTAAGAACTAAACTAAAGTCTATGTTAATGCCGTTACTGATGGCGGCTTTGTCAAATCATAGTCCATTATACGTAAGCTAGGGTCTGTCATCAGATCGTTACTGACTGTTGATCACACAATACTCCTGAATATTCTCTACTGCTCCCCATTCTTGGTTGCTCTATTTCACTGCCGCTTTTTTTTCTAAATTCATTTTTAGCTACATATCTATTCTACTCATTCGTTTGCATTTTTCGTCCTGCCCACTTCTATATAAATCCTTGTTCAAATTAATACTTTTTGTTTTCGCTGTAAGTAAGTATCTGTGGTTTTTGTTATTTTCGCATATTCTATTACCATGTGGATTTGCCATTTCCACCACTGCTAGAGCCACTACCGCTGCTAGAGAAGAGCGTTTGCAAACGTCTGCTTCCACCGCGTAGTCCGCTGCGTAGTCCATTTTCATCACGTCCGCCGCTTCGCTCGTCGGAACCGCTATTGCTGCCATCGTAGCTATTGAGCCCACTGCCGCCACCATTCCGTCCTTTGATGCTGCCGCCACTGCTACTAGTGCTGGCGCTACTTAATAGCCGCAAGCTGCTGCGCGACAATGTATCGTCGTCGTCATTGTCCAGCTGGTTAAGCAGTTGTTCGGTGGCGCTCAAGCGTCCGGCATCGCCACGTAGTGAAATGGTGCTGCTGCGTCCGCCCTTGCCGCTGGCGTTGGTGATTTTCGTAGATATGATGCTGCGCATGCCCGTTGTGCCACTGCTGCCATCGAGTAGGAGCGGCGAGTGTATGACTTGTGCTTGTACCGTCGCGCTTGCCGGTTGGGTTATGACAATTTGCGGCAGCGTGGTGCGTTCGATCGTTTGGCGCGTGCTGCCATCGCGCAGTTCCTTCAATGTGGAAATATCACGCTGTTGGGCGTATACGCTACCGCTGGGTGCGCGCGTCAATATTGTAGGCGGATGTGAAACCACTGTGGCGTGAACGCTGTGCCCGAGCGTGCGGGTGGGCAGCGTTTGTGAGAGCAGCAGCGCTTGTTCGTTGGTCAAGCGTTCTTGTGATTGTTGCACTTGAGAACGCAACTGCTGTTGTTGCTGTTGGCGTTGCTGTTGCTGCTGCTGCAATTGTACCAATTGTTCCTGCTGTTCTTGCTGCTGTTGCTGTTGTTGCTTGTACTGCTGCTGGAACTGCTCCATTAGTTGCTGGGCCTGAGCGCGTGCCTGTGCCTCCGCTTGAATGCGCGCCTGCAATTCGGCGTCGCTTTGGACCTGCGCCATAGCTTCGGCATGCGCCTTAGCCTGCGCTTGCAGTTGCGCCTCAGCGAGCGCCTGCGCTTCGGCATATGAGGCGGCCTGAGCTTGGGCTTCGGCGATGGCTTGTGCTTGAATTTGCGACTGCAGAGCCTCGTAGCTGTTGTAGCGCGATGAAGAAGCAGTTGCCGAGGCAGAGGTAGATGATCGAGAGCGTTCGTCAACTAGTTGCTTGGAGACTACGGCGTTGAAGCCGTTGATGTCGTCAGCGGTGTACTCAACAACACGACGGGTGCCATCTGGCTCAACGAGAGAGTACTGGAAAGTGAAAACTCGAAATTATATTCAGGGCAGTGTCCACATTTTGCCACAAGTTCACTCACCTGTCCTTGCACCAAATCCCCATCACGCTTCTCCTCCTGCTGCTTCTCATCGCCAGTCAGCGTGTCGCGCACATCATAAGCGAAGCTATACTGCGGATGGCTGTCATAGTCCTCGGATGAGTCGGTGGTGGTGTCAGTTTGCTCCTGCGAATCACGGTCCTGTTGCTGTTGTTGCTGCTGCTGGGTAATTGATGACTTCTGTTGCTGCTGCAGCTGCGAAAAATCGATCGCTTGCAGGTGGGAATACGAGGCGCGCACAACATGGCACGACAACAGGCAAACACCGAGTATGTAGTAAAACTGGAATAGAGAAGAGGAGCAGCGAAAATTTTGTTAGTTAATTTTGCATATGACTGACAACCGAGCATTTGTAAATAGCTGTATATGTGCGCATGAAAGAGTGTAGCTGAAACATTGTCCATCTAAAATTTATTGTTGCATGCAACAGTCTGCCAGTAGTGCATATCACTCTATTTTGTGTAGGTAATTTTACTTCGCTCACAACACTTCTGGGAAATTAGCAATTGCCATTTTGATGACGAGAATGTAGAGTGCAAATGAGTGAGTCAGTAAAAGAGAAAGCTTAATGAAATCGTAAATATTTTATAGACAAACTAGCAGTAGGTTTTATACGTGTGCACAGAAACCTGCAGTTTATGCAAACGTATATTTAGTATAATGCTGAAGTAGCCAGAAGTTAAAAAATGCCCTCTCGGACAGAGACTTCGCAAAGAGTCTTCAAAACTTAATATATCACTAATGCCATGGGGGTGTTATTGAGTCTGCTGCAATCGCAGTTGGATAATTCTAAAGCTGAGCAATATCCTGAATTAAAACCGCAAAATTATCAGTTGGTAAACACAAGTAATTCCTGATTCCTCAGACAAAGAAATTACTTAAAAACGGGATCCGTATATTGGCAAGCGGTTGAACATTCCAAATTTGTAATTGAGCAGATATACTTCAACAAATTTCATCGAGTTCTTGGGGTATCAGGTCTGCATAAGAACTACTGATTTATCTAAAGCACACAGATGAATAAAATTAGCTTCATATAATTCATATGAAATAAAAAATTCTTGCTTTCGCTACAGTAGGCACTTTGACGCGGTGAGGGAGCTTAGCTGCATCGCCATATAGAGCCCTTCAGGATCTGGGAACGCGGATGATGTGCCGACGTATACGCCAGCCCATTCGCGGCTCCGGCCATGAGCGAACACCGACCAAAATCTGCTTACCCCCTAATCCAGGTAGGTATGCGTCCGCTATAAGGAATGCTGTTTCTGGCGAGTGTCTGAAAGGGTGAATCCAAGGAGTGTGAGAAGGTGCGAAATAGGGATGGTAAACAAACCTTAGCGCAATATAATAAATATCATATAATTGTTGGATGCCGTGGTCGACTCTACTGACCGGGAAAATAAGCGAATAACACGGGCCAAAGAAGTAGTGGAGGTGGTATCTCAGACAACGACTGGCCTCCAGCGGTAGCATTAAGGATGCGCAGGTGACGGTAAGCTTTTTTTAGTCGTACTCGAAAATTCGTTTAGCAAAAATTCGGTATTATACCTTTCAGTCAACATTCCATTGTGAATGTTGTATTTAATAAGCACACCAACTAAATGTGTTTTAAATTTGTAGCTTAAAATATGCAAACAAATTCCGACTCTTCCGACTCTTCCACTCAAAATGAATGGGCTACAAAACTAAGTACTCCAAATTTTTTTAAAAATTCGGATCAAAAAGCTAGATATTTTGATGAAATTTTTAACCGACTTCACAAAAAGGAGGAAGGTTATCAATTCGTCGGAATATTTTTTTATTTATTTTTATGTATGTTACCGCATAACTTTGGACCACTTTCACCGAATTCTATAATTATTTTTTTAAAGGAAAGGTGTTACCTCACAGGTGGTCCCATTCAAATTTAGTTTAAATCCGATCATTCGATAAGTTTCTATATGAGAATTGATGTCGGTTTTGTTTTTTGCTTACAAATTATTTGTTTTTTTAATTTTTTCAAATTCTGTGCCTTTTCTAGAAAAAATTTAAGTAATAAAAAATTTAAAAATTAACCCTTAAATGCATGACTTGCTAGTAATTTCTAGTTAGAATGAGAGATGGTAGTGCAGAAAGACATAAAAAAATAATAAAAATATTTCAAAACTCAAAATCGTCCTTTAATCCTAAGGATAATGGTTTGTGGCCAAATGACTACATAGTGAACATTTTTTAAGATATTTGAGGCAAATACATTTCAATTAAATTCAAATGAAAGTTCTTAAAGCAGTTGGTTTTTTTTATTCAAGCATGACGCAACTCCGCATTTGTCGCCTTTCGTGCGACTGAACCCCTAGCATTCAGGATATTTGCATTGAATTTTAGCTTCCACATACTCAGGCCAGTGTCCAATTTCATCCCGGCGAATATCTTGTGGTATATGTTGCGCTGGTTCTTTTTTCTATTCTGCTTGGATGGCAGGCTCAATGATATTAGACCTCCCACGTTTTGGCGCGATGTTGATTTAACTCAAACATTGGGAATATTACATCTACAGTTTTGTGTTGCTTTTGATTTTATCTTCTTATAAATATCTCAGAATGAGTTTCAACAAAGGAGGAGATGGGAGTAACACATTTGTTGTCTTTTCAGACAACTGACGTTATGTCAACTCCATCCATTATCGTGATATATACGTGATTGTTACTACGCTCCACCGTTATCTCTTGTCAAAGCAATAATTAAACCGGTCTAAAATATCTGGCTACCCAAGTTCCAGCAATTGTTCTTCATCACTTCTATGTATGTATATGTAAATTTTACTATCCACACTATCCATATGTATGTATGTATATGTAAATTTTATGATATTATTATTTTCTACACCATTGTTCAACAATATCTCATCCAATTCATTTATATTGTTGCTAGTAACATGCTGCTGAAACATTTACTTGCAATGTATTTCCATATCGCTGTCAATTGGACAATTTGCAGACATAAATTTTATTTCGGACAAGTAAGCAGCAAAGAAAAGGGAAAATTTCTACTCAGAAATAAATATTCGTCAACAGAGATTTATGTATGTGTGCGAATTATTCAATTTCCCTCGCACTTTATTGAACCGTTATCAGTGAGGGAATGACTAAATACTTGCATTGTAAAATATTTATGTGGGACGCTACGTTGTAAAACGTATGCAACCATACGTACATATGTGAATTAGGCATATGACTTTTCAACTTTCAGATTTAATGTACATGGTATCATGCAATGAGTTTATGTGTATGTATATATGAAACCGGGGTGTGATCTTAATTTAAGAATACACAATCCACATGCGGATTCCGGAGGAAATCTTACATGTGAAGTGATGGTCTATTGGCTAAAATCGGAATTACACTAACTTATTGTCATCGTATTTTTGGAAAAAAAATTTTTTTTTAAGGTTTAGATAATTCATTCGTTTCCGCCGTTAAAATGTTAGAAAAATAGTTGCTAAAATAGTTGTCATAGCAACTACTACCAACGTCGACCTAGAGCCGTTATTATACATACGAGAGCGAAAGTTTAAAGCTCAATTGCTTCCAGTCTGCCAATTTATATGCGGTGCATGGCATGATGTTTGGTTCTGACCACTGTTTTTTAAGACACTAGGTAAAAGAAGAACCCGCTAATATTAAGCAGATGTGTAGTAATCCGCGCTATAGCGGAATCCAACGTTGTCAGATTTTCGTAAAATCTACGAAAATGCGATCACTCAACCTGATTCGCTGCGAACGGATGCATTCAAAGTATATGCCTTGAAAATTCGGAGGGAGGTTTTTTGACAAATTGACACAAAAATATTATTTTTGTTGTTTTTTTTTCACGATTTCTAAGCGTCGAGTAATAGGTACGAATTTCCACAAAAAAAAGTGATACGCCTAATGTACATACATTTGTATGTACATACTATATATGTATATAAATGTGATATGAAAGTATGTGATCGAATGTCCTGTAAAATATAACTACAAAGTTGCTGTAGCCCAGCGAATGCATGTTGGTGCGATGCCAATGATTTATAGTTGGGGTGTGGGAAAAATAGAGGGCGAGTGTGCAACAATGGAAATATGACACAATATGCAATGGCTGCTAGTATGTACGTGTGAAGGGAGAGCTTTTAAAGAAAATTTTATTTTTATTGAACACAATATTTTGTTATAAAATCGAATTTAATTTTAGTGCAACTGGATCAATAGGTATAATTTTTGAGAAATGGAGACCAGAATATCCAAATATTTTTTTACCTACTTTTTCAAAACAATAAATAAGCTAGTAAAAATGCATGCGGTCCTTTTTTGGTGAAGCTTGCTCGTAAAATGAATTTCCCGGCGAGAAACAGAACCTTTGTGTCAGTGAAGCAGCTGTTGGAAGTGTGCAGGTGTCGCCAAAAACTTTCTTGATCTTGGTTGAGGACGATTGAATCGAGCTCAATTAAGGGTAGTGAAATTAATAGGCTTTGCAGATGATGTGGTAATTTTTGTAATCGGTTATTACCACCTGCGGTGAGCAACATCATGGAAGAAACTCTAAAAGCTTAAACAGACGGCAGCGTTGATCCGGATTAACTCGGACTAAATTCGGATCAACTGCAGTTAATTCCCGAGTTGATCCGGAAATTGCGTTTTTTGGATGTCTAGGGTTAAGAAGATCAATCCATCTGCTTAAAGTTGCGAGTATTTTTCAGCCAGAAGTGTTTGCTACCGCAGAAGGCTCTCGCCTTTTAAGGCCGACTTAGGAGTGCAGAATCCTTTGGATAATAAGAGTTAGTCGTCATTTTGAAGTAGACTTCGCTACACTCCCGGTTATGTAACATTGATGGTTATACATTCGCTTCAATTTACGACCTCATTTGACCCCGTATCGTAAAAATATTTAGAGAAATTGTTTTTCTTCAGAAATCGGGTCAAAGCAAAGTGCCTGCCTGTCGCATAGCCTAACTAATGGGGTCCGCATACGATCCTACAAGAATACTCCACCTAGACCGGACGTTTCGAGGCTGGTATTTTCCGGTTGCTACCCATGTCGGACTTCCGCGTATCAAATACGACAAATTCTGTAGAAGATTTAAAGGTGAAAACGAAGAGCAAATTATTTTGCAGATGCCCGGCTTTAATAAGGAGCAGATATACCACTCTAAGAGCATAAGATAGAGATCTGGTTCATATATGCCTTCACAACATATTAAATTCTATCAACGACGCTGGTTAATTTAACCCATCTGAAGTGTTTGGAATTTAATCCTTCCTATAATGTTTTGGGTAATT